AAAAATCTTTAAAAAAAAAAAACAACTTCCCAAAGTGATGTTCTGATACATTCTTGCTAGGTTGGCTTTCTGTCTGACTATGACAAGGTCAGAGTTTCCTCAGTGGAACCTGTGATTATTCACGCAGACTCCTGCTTCAGGCTAGAGTGGGGGCTAATGTTCAAGCCACGTCTTTGTGCCCCAAACCACAGCTTCTCCACTTAGCTTGATTTCCAGAGGAGTGTTGATCAGAAATCTCAGGAACTGAATGGGTGGTGAGGATTAAGGAAAGCTACAAGCCCAAAGAATCCAAAGAAAGGCAAAGGGTGGGGATCCCAAAGGCTTCCTATGGCAGTGCGCTCCCAGAGTGTCCTGGCTCTCAGCCAAGTGAAGCGCGGCAAGTTCAAGTGTTGACGTAGAAGGAGCCACGGTCCTAATAAGCGTAAGGGGAAAGGCCTAGGTCTCATCGCTGTCTTCAGACACTGGCGTTTCAGAGAATGTGGGGGGAGCACAAAGCTCACGTGCGTGACTCACCGCGAAGTGGTTGCCCCTCCAATCAACAACGGGATCTTGATTGCTAATCTCTCCATTTCCTTGGCAACAAATATCATTTCTTCCAGGGAAGGAGTTATGAGTCCTGACAGTCCAATTATATCTATTATTAAAAAAAAAAAAAAGGACAGTACGAAGGAGGATGCGAGAAAAAGAGGAAAAGTATGAAAACTCACTTTAAAAACTCTGTAATAAAGACCCCAGAACCAATATAAATTCCCAATTTCTAAGACACCTTTTCTGACTGGGGGTTTCAATGTATTGTTTGCTTTTGGTAATAAATACCATTTGTGACTGAAAGTTGCAATAATGTACTTGCCAAAGTTGTGGGAAGCCATGCAACACAATGTATTATTAGTTCATGATTTCCCAGACTTGAACATGTCACAGTGTCTGAAGAAACATAAAAACAACTACACACATAGAAAAACCTAATGCAACACCATATTCTTATAAGAAGTCTGTCCCTGTTCCCCACCTCAAAGCTATGAAGGAGTTTCATAATACCCTATTCACATCTTCAACCCCCATTATAAATGGCACTGAAAGCAGTGCCCATGTAGGAGCTGGCACCTGACTGCCTGTCCCACCAGCTCCACTGGGCGGGGCACACTAGTCCTTGATAGACAGGCGCTGGGGGAGGACCCAGTACAGATGCACGAACCTGCTTTGTGCTCAAGAGCGGCTTTCAGGATCTTATCGCAGGGAGTCATGACTCCCAAGTCAATAACCCTGGGGGATAGAAACGAGATGTGAGAAAATTAATGCGAAAGCTGAATTTCTCACTGGAGACAAAGCTGAAATAAACATTTTTATTAAGCCATCAGGTATTGCTCTGATGTAAATTGAAATCACACTGAAAGGCTCACGAAATACCAACCACCACCACAAGTACAACCACCATTTCCTGCGTGCTCACCGTTAGCCAGGTACTACACGAAGCTTTAAAGCAGCTTTATTGCTATATAATTCACACAGCATAAAATTCATCCATTTAAAGCACACAATTCAGTGGTTTCTGGTACATTACACTGTTACTTTTTAAAGCTATGGTAAACCATGTAACCTGCCCTTTTAACTATTTTAAATGCACAGTCCAGTGACACTAATTACAGTCAGTCTCAATGTTGTACACCCATCAGCACCACTATTTATTTTCAAAATTTTGCCATTACCCCAAACTCACTCAGGAACAACTCCCCCCATGCCCTGGTAACCTCTATTCTACGTTCTCTCTCTGTGAATCTGTCTATTCTAGATATTTACATAAGTGGGACCAGGCATTATTTGTCCTTTGTGTCTGGCTTACTTCACTCAGCACACTTTATACATTTATTCATCTGTCAGTGGGCACTTGGCTTGTTTCCACTCTACTAATAAGCTTTTCACATAAGCAATCTCATCTCACCCTCACAGCGACTCAGTGATGAGGCACTACTGTGGGTTCCATTTGAATGAAGAAGGGCCCCGAAAAGTGAAGCAACTTGTAAAGTCACACAACTACTTAGTAGTAGAGTTGGGATTTGAACCAGCATCTAACACCAAAACCCATTCTCTCAGCCATGTGGGCCAATAAAAATGCTGGGGAGTTCACTCCATAAGTATCTACTGAGCCATATATACCACATGGAAGCCAAAGAGAAGAATAATCAAGAAGAGGTCAGCTCCTGCACATGAAAAGCTGACAATAAGGAAATCTGGTTACTTAGATCAAAGGTGAGGGGGGCTGAGTGGGGGAGGGGCTCACTGACAGGGGCAGGGCGAGACACCCCCCCCCCCCAGAGCAGCTGACTGGGTGAGCGCACAGGAGATGGACGGCAGACACTGGGCAGGGAAAGCCTGGAGTGTCTCTGAGGGGAAGAATATACCCGAGGAATTCCAATTCATAGAGGAGCCCACTTCCCAGAACTCAGAGAAAACAGGAATTCCTGCTCTGGAAAATTCTAGATTTAGAGTAGCCATAATGACAGTCATTTTTACATTTTTTTCTCATGGGTAATTTTTTCTCATTAAAAAAGATGTTTTAAAAACTACAGCATGCATTTTTCACGTATTTCATAATGTAATCAATTCTTAAAATTAAATAGGCAAAATAATTTTAAAAAAAAATCAATGCCTAAGAACTACTTCCTGACATATCAGCTGGTAACAGTGGGTGCTGGATACCAGGGGCTTCGTACTACATACCCTTTAGTATTATACTGTTGAATTTCTTACCTTGTTCCTGTTACTTAAAAATTTCAAATAAACTAGACATAGGGAATCCTCAGTAAAAAAGCAAGATAATTTCTAATCAAAGATAACCAGTCAGCTGTGTTAGCACAAATGCTGCAGGCTGCTACGTGACACTTCAGGTTACGACACGAGTGAGATGGTACCACTTTTTATTTTTTAGCATATTGAAAACAGTCTGGTAACTGGATCTTTTATTAAACTATGACAAAGCATAGACTGTTACATATAAAACTAAGCAAAATACCATATTGCTTTTAAATCGAGACAAAAGGGCATATATTTCAGAGCTGTTTTCAACATTATACAGTTTTAAAATTAAATTAAAATTGTCAGTCTGATGTAAGGATGCGCCGGCTCCCATTCCTTTCTCTTGTTATGAGCAGTGTATCTGTCAGGAGCAGCTTAAACATGCCTGCTTTGTGTCTGGACAGAAATGGGGAGGAGAGGGGCCGGCCGAGTGGCGTGATGGTTAAGTACTGGCTTGGGACACCAGAGGACCCCGGTTCGGATCCCACATATGAGGGCCAGTGACACTGCCCTCCGCAGCTAAGATGCTGAACAACAGTTCAACCTGGAGCTGGGCTGCCATGAGTCGCCGGCGAAGGCGTGAGCTGCAGCCCCTGTGGCAGTGGGTTGCCATGGGCTACCGTGTGTGGCCAGCAGCTACCGTGAGCGGCCAGCAGCCGCAGTGAGCGGCCGTCCAGAAGCCGGCGACTGATCTGCCTCGC